CCCCGCGCTCCCGCAGTGCCCCCGCGCCCCCCGCGCCCCCACCCTGCGCCTGCAGCCTGGCCAGCTCCTCCCCGAGCGCGTCGTGCGCCTCCTCCAGGTGCCGCTTGCGCAGCTCCAGGCTCTGCGCGTACTCGGTCAGCGAGCGGATCTTCGCCTCGTGCTGCACCGGCACCGGCACCGGCCTCAGCCTCCGCCCGGGGGCACCGGCACCCCCGGCCCGCTCCCGGCACCCGCCCCGCACCATCGCCCCAACACCCGCGGGGGCACCGCCCTGGCAACCCCCAACCCCGGGACCACCCTCAGGTGCCCCCCGACACCCCCAGGGGCACCTGACCCCGACACCCGCGGGAACGTCCCCCCAGCACGCCCAGGGCCACCCCCAGGTGCCCCCCCAGCACCCCCCAGTGCCACCAAGCCCCCACCCCAGCGGAGTCAAACACCTAGGGTCACCAAACCCAGGGTCACCAAACCCTTGGAGCCACCAAACTCCAGGACCCCTGAACCCCAGGGTCACCAAACCAGTAAACTCTGGCGCCACCAAACCCAGGGCTGAGAAATCCAGGGCGACCAAAACCCCAGGAAACCAAACCCTGGGTCACAGAACCCCTGGCCACCAAACCCTGGGGCCACCAAAACCTGGGTCACAGAATCCCCAGGCCACCAAATTCTGGGGACACCAAAGCCTTCAGCTGCCAAACCTCAGAGCCACCAAACTGTGGTGTCACCAAATCTTGGGGACACAAAACCCTGAGCCACCAAACCCTGGAGCCACTAAGTCTTGTGCCACCAGACCCTGGAGCCACTAAATCTTGGGCCACCAAAATGTGGGTGGCAGAACCCCTGGGCCACCAAAGCCTGGTGTCACCAAATGCGAGGGTCACAAAACCCTGTGCCACCAGAGGCCGGGGTGCCCTGGCAGTGGCAGCGCCCGGCCCTGGCGCACCTGGGAGATGAGGAGCTGGCAGGAGGACAGCTCGCGCCCTGTCACCTCCAGCTTGCGGTGGCACTCCACCTGCAGGCTCTCCAGCTGCCGGCAGCGCTTCACCACCGACTTCACCTCTGACTTGATCTTGCTGATGTAGAGCCGGGCAACGGCGAACTCCTCCTCGATGGCCCCGCTCACCTCCACCGGCTGGCACGGCATGGCACGGCACGGCACGGCAGTGGGCACAGGAATGGCACAGAGTGGGTATGGCATGGCAGGGCAGGGCAGGGCAGGGCAGTGGGCACAGGAATGGCATAGTGTGGGTAGGCATGGCACAGTGTGGGTATGGCATGTCATGGCACGGCACGGCATGGCACAGCACAGGAATGGCACAGTATGGGTATGGCATGGCACGGCCAGCACACGGGTGTGGCACGGCATGGCACTGAACTGTGTTCCGGGCACAGTGTGGCACAGGCATGTCCTGCACACGGGTGTGGCACGGGGATGGCACACGTGGGGGTGGCGTGGGCACTGCAGGGGCATGGCATGGCATGGCCGTGGCATGGCCGTGGCATGGCACAGGCAGCACAGCCTGGCACGGGATGGGTGTGACACTCACAGGGGTATGGTGGCACAGGCATCACGGGGACATGGAATGGGCATGGGAAGGACACGGGACAGGCACGGCACAGCTGGGTGTGACATGGCACGGCTCTGCTGCGGGCACTGCATGGCACGGGCACAGCATGGCACAGCATGACAGGGACACCCCGCACTTGGGGAGGGCACGGCAGGGGCACATCCCACACGGCACAGACCTCCCCTCTCCCCCTGCCCCGTGCCCCCGTGCCCCGGTGTCCCTGTGTCCCCCCCCCCCCCCCGCCCCC